GTTTCTAACTTGAATTGGCATTAATTTCCTTTATGAAAGGAAGGTTATGAGAATTTACTAAGTGCATGTTCTAAAAGTACCACCAACATTTTTGTTTGTTTTTGTTTCTATGTTTGTGTTTTGGGAGGAGGAGCTTGTGTGTTTATTTTGCATATGGGTTTGCTTCACCATGCATGTTGTTCTGTGCTACTCTATACACACTTACGTATCTACACCATACACATTCTAGATACACGCCAAGCGGTATAGACAGTTCCCAGAAAGCAAAAATCTATGCCATGGTAAAAGATATGTGTTTGTAAGGCATTTCTTTACTGGCAAATGTGGTGCCTCAGCAAACATCTTTCATTGCAACATGATGACTCTCTATGAGAAAACACTAATGAATCTCCCAGTACTCACAAAAGCATTTTGCTGAGCCCCGCTGGCCGTGGCAACAGCAGTTGGAGGTGGGAATGAGGCTACAGTTCCACAGGCTGAGCCTCCGATGATGAGAGTGGATAGGCCATGGCTTGATAGGAAGTTGCTCCTTTTAGCATCTTGGAGATAGCAATGCTTTTTCTCTCATCTGCTTGTGCAGAGACCTTATGTTAATAGCCTTGCTTTCCTCACATAGCTAGGTACCCAGAAATGCCCAGGGAGTTCTCAACTTCAAAGGAGAGAGGGGCACCATGGTCTGGCCCTGCCATTAAAGGAGCCTGTGAGCCACTGCCCACCCTGCCTGCCGTTCTTTTTTGGGCCTTTCTCCAACTGTTCTTAGCCCTGAAGATCAATTATGGTGGCTTACAAAGAACTGAATGTGGAAGCTTATTGGTGGGGAAGTCATGGTGTTTGCCTTGAAAGTTTGCATGGTTATCCTACAAGCCACCAATTGATCTTTGCTATCCAAGACCAATGGAGATTGCTTGCCAAATGTGTTATAAACAGAGCTGTTCCTTGGGCTGAACACATTAGAAGTGGGGATCCTTGTACTGCTTCACAATTTTAAAGTCTCTGTTGTAACAGAGCACTGGTTTACGTCTTAACAGAATACCAGCAGATTTCTCCTAAAAGCTGAAGAATATGACTATGGCTAAATGTTTTGTAAAATCTTAAGAACTTCATCCCCCCCCCCCACCCCTTTTGGATAAGTATATTGCTCTGATCTTTAAGCTAAGAGAATTTGACTGTGTGCTAGTGAACTCTTTATAGTTTATTAGAACAAATATACATTTAGTTACATGCATCAGGCTTCGTAAAGAATCGCCCAAAATTCATGAGAGAGTTCTTAATTTTTGCTGTGAAACACACATTAGAGAACAAATCTTTACAGTGCACACTAGGATTTTTAGCGTTATTTAAACCTTACCTGGTTGGAATTTAATCCCCTACTCACAGCACAAGGGCCAAAATGACACAAATGGGGGGTGGCTGGCATCGAGAGATACCCAACAAGCTGCTCCATTTAGCATCATCTAAATCCTCCTTTAATATGATTAACATCTGATATTTCTCTCTTTCTGAATCATATCCACTTCTAGCCAGGCCACCTCTTCTTTATCTTTGGAGTCTATTTTAAGACCACTTCAGTGCAAGGAGTATGGGGCCCAGGGAGCAATTTTGTCACTTCTCATGTGACTTCAGACAAGTTATTGGTCTATTTTTGGTCTTATTCTTCCTTCAGTAAAACTGGGCTCTTTCTGGAAATGTGGTGACAAAGAAGCAGGAGCCTGGATTCTGCCCTGCCCCCTCCACCCACAGGCTCACGTATAAATGCGCACACACATACCCACCGCCACAGAGGATCCTAATATCACTCAATAGTTTTTAATGTGGCCTCCCAGTCTGGGCGCATTTACTCCCAAAAGCTTCAGATAAGATGATCCGTTCTTTTCTGTGCCTGTGTGCATGGAGGTCAGTGCTTAAGTGAGATGCTTAAAAAGCCACGGGTCTTATCGCTGGAGCTTTACCAGTGCGGGCCGTGGCTGCGAGCCAGAGGTGGACCCGGCACTTCGAGCAAATACTTCAACTGATAGGGTGTGCGCTGTGGGACTCTGGCACTGAGGTTTCGCCTCTTAGATCGAGTGAAATGAATCTGTAGTCTAATATGAGCAAGGGAAGAGGATGGCAAAGTGGAGAACTGTACCTCTTGTTTCTTTCTTAATTTTTAAGCGTGGCAGAGGGACTCCGAAGTTATGTCTTCATGATGCCCCAAAATCCAGTCCATTCAAAGGAATATATTACTATATTACTATATTACTCAGTTCAAAGGAACTGAGTACGAGCTGGTCCCATAATAAAACATCTTATTGATTGCATTTTAAATTTCTCAATCTGTTGTTAGTAGCAATAATAAAACAGCTAACATTTATTGACTGTTTTCTATGCCCTAGGCACTCATCTAAGTGTTTTTACCAATATTAACTTACTTAGTGTGAATAGTAATAATAATAGGGATATGAATACAAGAAAAGCTTCAGTTTGCCTAAAGATTTATACTGTTTTTAAGTAATTCTCAATGGGAAGGGACAGGTAGAGGCTGGGAGAGAGAGAGGAGTATGAGACGAGAGGAAATAAGGCTGTTCTCCCTCCTTCGCTAGATTTCCTTCTTTCTTCTTTCTCGTCTCCCTCTCTTGCCTTTTTTCAGCCTCTGCTCCATCTCTGCCTCTCTGTCTGAAGCTTGCTGGTGGCCTCTCTACCACTGCTCAGCACAGTCCCCCACCAGCCCCCACTGCTGACGGCTCTCAGAGCAGATGGGGAAGGTTTATCACTAGCGAAGAGGGAGTGGCTGGACTCTCTCTCCTTCTAGACCCTGCGTGTCCTGGCCTTTATGAGTCAGGACCTTCTGAGTGACAGCAGAGCGGTTCTGCCTTTTGTATCAATTTACACAATTGCCAAGATTCTTGGCACGGCAGTCAGACCTAGGGTGGTGAGAGCTTGAGAAGACCCAGGGGACATGGGAGAAGACCCTGAAGGGGGGAAAAACAGGAACTGCACTTTTAGCTTGTGATAAAGCCAAGGAAAGTTGGCTACAGTGCACGGAGTTGGGCATCTGGCTTGGGGATGTGAGTTCGCGAAGGTGTGCGGGGCGTGTTCAGTTTCAGGCTGCACTTCTCACTCCTGCTTCGCCCATTGAAGGAGGTTGGCAACAATAAATTTGTCTTTCCAGGTGTTATGGTATATATTCCCATGTTTCACTTTCACTTCACTTTGAAGAGCTTCCAAAAAAAATTTTTTTTTATGGGAAGAGAAAGGGGGTTTGGGACTCTGTCCCAGTTTTTAAATCATCCTGATACTTTTGACTTTAGGGGCATACGAGTTGGATTTTATTGCTGTTTTGTTGCTTTCCCAACTGTGGCAGGAAAGAAGGCAACGATCACCATCAATTCCCGAGGCTGGTTTACAGGTTTTGGCAAAGGACCCAACTAAGCCACCAACCTGCGTAAGGGACCAAGGGACCTACCACCCTAGTCAGGCTCTGTTGCTTAGGCTGCCCACGTGATACGGTGCAGCTAAGAAAGGCAGAAGATTAGGGGCTGGAGACAGTCTTGTGTGTGAGTTGACAGATGCCTTCGTCCAGACTGATACTTCTGGCTTCAGGGGCATGTGAGCTGGCTGTTTTGCCTTGTTTGTTTCCCTCGTAGGCAGGAGAGGAGGTGATGGTCAGGGTCTAAGGCTGAGTGGAGCACTCTTTCTCATTCTCGGGCACCCTGCATGAGCTCTTCTGCCCAGTGTGGTTAGCCAGCAGCCCTCCTAGGCCCGTCTGTGGCTACCCGTTTACCTGTAGGCAGCATCCCCAGGCCCAGACAGGGCGGTTAAGCCCCCTTGCCCTCACTAAAGACGCAGGTTTTCAGATGGAAGGTTTAGAGATAAATAGAATGGGGGAATTTGATTCATTGATTAGCCAACTTATAAATGCCATTTCCTAAGATTTTAATACCCCCCCCGCCCCCCGGGCAGATGATCCATCATCGAGCCCAGGGTTTGGCTTTTTCTAGGTGTCACATGACAGGCAAGAAGAGCACTTCTGCGGCCCTCTGGCTATACTCTCTGACTTTCCTCTTAGCACGAGAAAATAAAGCAGCACCCCTCATACCCACCCTCCCCCACCCCCCCAAACACATTATACTTAAATACACACACTGCGTATGTTCTCTCCACGATGCCCCCACCCCCACCCCCTCCCGCGCTCAACACAACACACATGTAAGAAGATTTAGTATATCTGGAAGTCTTTCATTCCCATCACCATTGCTTTAGAGAAAAATGAGGACAGGTGGATTTAGGAAGCACTTCCCTCCGCTGCAAATAGATACTTAAATATGAGGATCATTTGGAACCCTGGCACGTGAGTGAGAACCTTTCACTGCTCTCGCACGCAGCCTTTTGGCCTCCAAGCCGCTGAGCTGTTTAAATGATCGCACAACACACTCTTCTTGGTGGGTGGCGGGGAGGCAAAGAAACCCTTATAGTTTCTTTCCTTGCCAGCCCCGCCACTGACAAGCCAAATTGATCTCTTAAGAGACGAAATGAATGTTCTCCAAATATATGTACACACATGGCTGTCTGGGAACAT